ACCCCCATGCCCCTTCCCCCCACAATATACAAGACTAAGACTTCACTTTCAGCTATTATACAATCACGTCTATGTACACAACACAAACAGATGTAAAGCAGGACAAAAATATTTTTTGAAATCAAATTAATGAACGTTGTAGATGTGTGATTTTAAGCATATAATTCGGTATTTTTCTGGTCCCAAGATGGCAACCAGGGGGTGGGGCACCTGTGAAGGGGCGGGTCTACCTATGTGGCCCTCAATACCTTGCCAAAACTCAGTAAGTGGCCCTCTGCCCGAAATAATAGCCTGCTCCTGGCATATACCCACGCATGCACACACACTTATGCACACACAAGCACCCATGAACACACCCATGCACACAGACACACACATGCATTCACATGTGTAAACTTGCATGTGCCCACACACAGACATGCATGCATGCACATGCATGCACATGTGTGTGCTCATGCACACATACACACTCCCCCCCAGCCATGCTATAACCCTCCACTCAACCCAAAATCACTTCCTGCCAGGAACCGCAGGTCTGAGCTCTGCTGCCCACCGGGGCCACAGCGAACGAAGCCTCTGGCAGGGTTACCGGCCCTTCAGGACCTTCTTGATCCAGGCCTTGTAGGGGAAGACGGCCGTGGCGACAGGCGGCTTGAACACGTCGATGCAGGTCTTATCCGAGAAGGATATCACGCCGGCCGCCTCCTCCTTCTTCCCACACACCAAGGGGCCCCCAGAGTCCCCCTGCAAGGGTGCAGGAGGCAGGCAGTGAGCTGGAAGGGGCAGGGGCAGGGGCAGCACCCCTCGGCAGCAGGGGGGGTGCAGAAGAGGATGTGGGGCATGTTGCCTCCGCTGGGCACAACCCACAACACTACCCCAGCCTGGGGCAGGAAGGCTGCTCAGCCTTGTTGGCTGTCCCATCCTTAGCCTCTGCTTTGGGGAGTGCAGTGCAGCCCAGAGACCCAGCTCTACCTGCCCCTAAATCTGCCAGACACCGTAGCCCCCAAGCTCCCAGCGCGCCAGGGAGAAGCAAAGCCCTGGGGTTGAACCCAGCAAGCAGGGGTGGCATGAAGCTGCCCAGAGAGCAGCAGCCCAAAGGGACACCCTCAATCCCGGCTGCATTTCGGGGTTTTGGGGGGTGCAGAGGCCACCCCCTGCTTGAGATCCCCATCACCTCTCCCTGCCTGTGAAGAAGGCTCCAAGCCACTAAAACATCAGGGTACCAGGACAGTGAACCCTCAAACTTGGCTGTGTCGGGGGGAGCTCTGCACTGCCCACCCCCCACAAGCCCATCAGGTCCCATCCATCATCACCTTGCAAGGCGAGCCTTTAGCGCCCTGGTAGCAGGTCATGGTGGGGGTCAGCTCGCCGTGCCAGAACCGGCTGCCGTTGCACATGCGCATGTCCAGCACATGGACATGCAGCTCCTTCAGCACGGGGGAGAGCCGGCTGGACTTCTCGGTCAGCCCCCAGCCAGCCACGCTGCACTGCGTCCCAGCGCCCCACACCTTCTTGGGCAGCATGAGGAGCTTCGTCTGCCGGTTCTTCTTCACCTTCCTGTCCAGCTGTGGGCAGGGGCGAGAGGCCTGCTCAGGTGCCATGCGGGGGAGGCCCTGAGTCTGGGCATGCGCTGGGGCCTCTTTGAGCCATCCAGGGCTCGGGTCAGGAGAGGGGTGGCTCTGCCCCAAGCAGAGGCACAGATGCGGGGTAGATATGGGAGCTTTGTGGCATCCCGCCTGGCCAGGCTCAGCGAGTGTTAGCAAAGAGCAAGGGGTAGCAAGCCCCCAGCCCTGCCCCAAAGCCTCCTCCCAGCGTGGGGCAGCTCCACCGCCCACCGGGGCTGCATTTATACCATGCACCAGGAAACTTAGAGCACCCACTCACGCTACCCCCAGGCTGTGCCCCCAGCCTTGCATGATGCAGTACAGCCCCCATCCTCCCCGCTCTGTGATGCCAAGGGGCTTGCAGCTGCGGGTTCACAGGTTCGTGTGAGGAAGAGCCCACGTGGTACCAAGGTGTGGAAACGAGGAGCGGGAAATGACTTGGGGCTGGGGCGAGGAAGCCACAACTTCCTGCCCTGCTCTGAGCTGCAGCTGCAGAGAGCTTCCCCTGCACCCCATCTCCTCCTGCCTCCATGCAGCCCCTCCCGGAGACACTAAACGCCCTGTTTGCCTTCACCCGCGCTGACGTGGCTTTTCCATCCAAGCTCAAGTGCAATGCTGGCCTGGATAACCTCCCTGGGTCCCTCCCAGCCCTGCCTCTCATGGGTGAGCCCCAGCTGGGGAAACTGAGGCAGGGGAGCAGAGCAATGCACATGGCAAGGAGACACCCTCCTCCCTCGCCCCAGCCCCACGGCTCTCCAGGAGCTCGCAGCTACAGGTCCAGGCACCTTCAGCAGCATGATGTCGTTCTCCATCGTCTTCAGCTTGAAGCCGGGGTGTGGGACGGACCTGGCGATGCTGAAGCTCTGCTGGTAGGGAGAGGCCTTGTCCAGGCTGTGCAGCCCCACCACAGCCTTCAAGGGCCCCTTGTCCCTGGGGCACAGAAGCAAAGCTCCCTCACATGAGTGACCTCCATGCCAACCGCCTCCCCCGCCAATGCTCCCCCCAGGAGGAAGCTCACACCGCCTTTCCAAGATGCACTCCCACTGCCCTGGAGCACCAAGGGCAGGAGACAACGTCCAAGTCCCCTGCACGTGGTGGATGAGCCCCCAGCTCAGTCCTTCCCCTTCCCTGGAGCCTCACCGTGGCAGCTGGCAGTGAGCAGCAGTCAGCACCCAGCGTGCGTGCACCAGGGCCCCCCCACACATGTGCCTGCCGTTGGCTTGGAGAGACACCATGTAGGGCCTGGAGTGCGGCTTGGCTTCCTGGCCCCCGATGATCCATGACTGGAGCCGGCCAGCTGCAAAGACACAGGCTCACAGGCAGCCCACCCCTCTCAGGGCTGAGATCCCCACCGCCACCCCAGCACCCACCTTGTGGCCACGTGAGCAAATGCAAGCAGCAGAGATGGACCTTAGCTCTCCTAATGTCCAGTCCAGCGTCCTCATCCCTGGGTTCACCCCGCCACAGTCCACTCACCAGCCTCCCCAGGGTAGAGGAGCAGGAATGGCAGCAGGACCAAGCTCACAGACACCTTCATGATGCTGCTGAGCTGCATCCGACTGAGCTGTGGCCTCAGTGCTCTCACCCACCTCCCCCCAGCTCGTGCCTCCTCCCACAAAGGCTCCGGGGCATGGGGATGAGACAGGGAAGATGACAGTTTAGGGTGTGAAAGTCTGAAGGGTGTAAAAGCACAGGGTTGGGGGGGAGGAGATGCACTCCCTGGCTGAAAAGCAGCAGTCAAGGGTCCCCGCGCAGGGGAAGCGAAGGCAAAGGAGTGTTTTTGGGGCACCGCTTGTCTGACCCAGTGAGAAGAGGGTCGCTGGCAGGGTGGAGACACCACCCTTCTCCCCCCAGGGCTACTGCACACCTGAAGAGGTGGCATTGCCTCCACGCAGGGAGCAAAGGAGCCTTATAGGAAGGCAGAGGGGGCTGGATGCAGGGGGAGGCAACTGGGGGCTCTGCCTGGGAGCTGACAGCAGTGGGATCAAAAAGGCTGAGGGCCTCTGGCCTAAAGGGAGGACACAACTAGTCAGAAAGGAACTGAGACCCTGGGGGTTTTACTTAACAGCCTTCAGCTGGCTGGGCACAGGGTGCCAAGAGACTCCCCACCAGCACCCAGCCCTGGCCTGACCTACGGCATCACAGAGCAGTGGGACCGAACCACATCAGGGCAAACAGCTGCTGGAGGTAGGACGGGAGCGTCCGAGCTGGGAACAGAGCCAGGTATTGGCTCCTGGTAGTGACTTTCCCAACCCCTATCCCTTATCTAACCCTGCTCATCAATACCTCCCCCCTCCCCCAACAAAACCTCTGCCTTAAAGAACTTGCAAGCAGGAGATGGGTTTCTGGAGAACTGCATTTTAGTGACAGCTTCTTACTGAGGTGCACGACACCGTGGCCCTGGGCCTGACTGCCCCCTGTGCACATTTTCACCTTCAACTACACGATCTGCTTGCTAAACATCCTGGTGGAGCCCAGAATAGCCCCTGGCGTCCTTCCCTGGTCATCCCCACAGCAAGGCCTCTACTGAAGCCGGGATGCCCAAGGAATGGGGCTGCACCACAAAGCCGGGTCTCTCCAGTCCCTAAAGGCCGACACTGCTCTTTGCTTTGGACACCTTGGAGGGCACTGCAGTCCTGGCTGTGCTTGATGATGCCTTCACCTTCCGCAAGCTGTTCAGGAGCTTCTGCTGGAAGAAGGCGCTGTGGTAGTCCAGTTCGTTAAGGTGCCTTAAAACCAGAGGCACCTGGTGTTTCTTTATGTCCACGTACACTGGGATCATTTTTGTGCCTTCCTGCTCAATCACGTGATGCAGGTTCCACTCCAGGACCTGCTGGCACCAGGGGTCATGCAGCGACTGGGCCGAGAGGATGATGATGGTGACCCAACTGGCCTCGATGACCTCGGTGGCTTTCAAGGCCACTGATGTCCCAGCCACTTGGTCCTGGTGCTCCACGTAGCCCCGGAAGCCGTGCTCCATCAGGGTCTTGGAGATGCGGGAGGCCACGTCGTCGTCGTCAGGGCAGTACCAGATGGAGAAGTCATAGGTGAACCGAGGGTGCGAGAGAGTCTCCATGTCGATGATCACCCCACGCATCTGTGGCAATGCCGAGGCACTCATGGCTGCTATCCCAGCCAGGTCAGGCTGCAGTTTCCTGTCTGGGAACCTGGCAGGAGGCTGCACCCAGGAAGGGCCCGTTCCAAGAGGCCCTTTCACTCCGAGCAGTGAGCCTGGGGCAGCCCATTGGCAAAGACCTCCCCAGGCAAGTCCTGTCACCACTCCACACCCACTGCCCCCAGCATTTCCAGCCACTATGAGAGGGACACTCCTGAAAAGCTGCCTTCCCAAGGCCTGGAGAATCCAGGGACGACACTGCAATGCCCAGTGCACCCACAGAGGCAGCTTTCCGACCCTATAATTTAACTATGGACATAAGGAACAATGTCAAAGACCTTGGCAACAGGCACACGCTCACAACCACTTCAGGGTATGGAGCTGTGCTTAAAAACCCCGGGCTATCCCCAAGTGTGTGAATGCCTGGGCTGGCTCTGCAGGGCAGACTCCCTCAGACAGCCTTCTGCTTCATCTCCAGGATGTTCTGCTCCAGAGTCTCCCCTGCCTGCCTCAGCTCCTCACACTTCTCCTTCAGCAGGCTGCAGGCCTTCTGCAGCCGCTGGTTCATCTCCACATAGGCATGGCTCTGCCGATACAGGAGCTCGCTCTCCTCTTCTGAATCCTCCTTCTTCCCAGGGGCTGCCAAATCTGGAAAGGGCAGAAAACACAAACTCAGGGGTGCAGAGGCCTTTCCATGCACAGCCGTGCATAGGATACCATGATCATTAAGGTTTGTTTCCCACTGGCAGGGGAAAACCACAAACGTGGCAGGGGGCAGCACTCTGACTGAGGTAATACATAGGTACCCCCCACTTTGACTTCCAGTGGGAGAATCCTGGCTACACACTGACTTTACGGAAATGGGAGACTACTCCCTAGCTTGTTCCTGCGGCCGTATGACGGAGGGCAAGCAAAACTCGGGGGCATCCCAACCCTCTGGGCTTGGACTTGCACGTAGGATACTGGTCAAAGGATATGGAATTATCTGAAACTCCAGGCGGGGTGGAGGCTGCTTGCCGGTAGCAGGGCCACACGCGGTTCTTGAATGACTCATGGATTCGATATTGATTTGACTGAGATGACTTGGGACATGAAAAATTTTCTTTAAGAGGAGACTGAGGAGGATTGAACAGCAGCCTTCAACTCCAGGCTATTTGTGTCCCTCTGGCCGAGGGAGCAGCTGGGTCCGCCTGCCCCTCTGCACGCACACTCCCACCCCTCGTGTCAGACAGGTGTTTGCCAAACTTCTACCGCACGAGTTTCTGTCTCTAGCTCAGTTAAAAGCTGTTGGACAAACAGCCCTAGAAGCCACAGACCCATTTGCTCCCCAGAGCTGGTGCAGAGCAGGATGTGGCAGGGGCAATTTCTGGGGCCCTACAGCTGACTCGTGTGAAGAAAAGGAGGTTTATAAAAGCAAGCGGGGGAGGTGCCCCCGGGGTCCCAGCTCAGGAGCTCCAGTCCCCGGCGGACCGCGAGACGCATCCACCGAGCACCCAGCAACTCGTGTCAGCCGAGCCGCCAGAAAACAGTGACTTTCAAACCTCGCTAGAGAGAGGCGCGGGGAGGGAGGCCATGTGGTTTACGGGGGCAGGCGAGACCCTGGGGGTGACAAGGGCAAAGACCGGGGATGGCACCCGCTACCTTCGCTGGGCTCAGCTACAAGGGCGAACACGGGGTCCGTGGGCCGTGCGCTCTGCACGTCCTCCAGGATCTGCTCCACCGCGGGCGGCGCGGGCCGGGTTGGCAGCACCACGCGCTTCTTGGCTTTCGCGCTCATCACGTGCCAGCCTCCGCCTGGGAGCCTGCGTCTGCAGCGGGTGGGGGGCTGTGAGCGACCCGACCCCAGTGACCCCAGGCCCCTCAACACCCCCCATGACCTGATACGCAGACCCCCCCAGATCCCCCATGGCCTGCCCTGATCCCATGCCCAGACCCCCCCAGTGACCCCAAACCCCTCCTGATCCCACACCCAGGCTGCTTAATGACCCCCACCCCCATGACCTTATACTCAGACCCCCCAGATGTCATGCCCAGACCCCCCATGACCCCAGACCCGTCCTGATCCCATACCCAGGCCCCCCAATGACCCCAGAACCTGCCCGTGCTCCCCAATGACCTGGCCCCCCAACGAGCCCTCCACCCCATGACCTTATACCCAGATCCCCAGGCCCCCCATGACCCCAAACTCCTGCTGATCCCATGCTCAGCCTCCCCCCACAATGACCCCCCACCTCCCACACGCTGCTCCGGGCGCCCGGCCGCCAGCTCACCCCCAGGCCGGCCACCGTACCGCCGGCCTCGGCCCCACCCGCTCCGCGTCCACCCGCACTGCCGGCTCCCTCCCCTGCCACGTGACGCCGGAGAGAGCCTCCCTCCACAAGCCCCGCCCCGCGCGCTCCTAAAGGAGCCGAGCCCTGGCGGCAGCGCCTCCCGTGGCCGGGCGGGGCAGTGCAGGGGCACTCGCCCACGTGCCCCCCGTGGCAGGTGCCCACCCCAGCAGGGCAGCATTAGGAGGGGGGCTCTGCATGTCCGTGCAAGACCCCATCCACATTCACCAGCCCCCTTGGCAGCCCCCCAAGCACCCCAGGGTGCTGCAGTGCCAGCCGGCACCGCCCGGTTGGCGGCACTCGAGGATTCGAGGCGCCAGGTGCCTGCAGGGAGACGCCAGCTCTGCTCTCGCCCCGCCGGGCAGGAGCGGTGCCAGCCGGACTCTGGCTGGGCAGGCCCCCGAGCATTGGGCATGAAGAGACTAAAGGTGGCAAGCATCTGCCTCCTTCGAGTCCAAGGGGCTGTGCACTGCCACGTCCCCCGACCTGGTGCCCTGGCACCGCCGCCACCCCCGCAAGCAGAGGGGCTTCAGCCTCTCGCGCCAGCCCTCGAGCTCACCGCAGAGAGCAACACAGACTCAGCACCAGCCTGGGCGAGAGCTGCCTTTGGTCCAGCTTGCACGAAACAAACAGCCCTGAAGGGCAGAACCAGATTGATTTTATTTTTTACAAATAAAAGACAGAGAACCAGCAGCTGGGATATCGAGAGGGATGGGGCTGCCCACGGGAGCAGCTGGAAGGTTTGGGAGCCCCGTGCGCCCTCCAGGATTTGCAGCTTGGCGGGAGTTTGTCCCCAGGCAGACCCGGACCCGGACCCGGACCCTCGCCGAACAGACATCACGGGTTGGGGCTGGGAGTGAGCAAGGGGCACTAGAGCAGAGCACAGATGGGACGTGGTGCAGACAGGGCTTTTCACACCCAGCCACTAATAGAAGTCAGGTCCCAGATCCGCGACGACAGGGTGGGGCGGTGGAAGGGGTCAGACCAGCCGGACATCAAACCCTCCCCGGGAAGGAGCCAGGACCCATCCCCCAGGTGACAGAGGATTGCAGAATTGACACAACCACAGCCCTGTCCCCAGGACAACCCGCTATGAGGCGAGTGCAGCTCAGCGCCCCGAGGGGTGGACGCTGGCTGCCGAGAACATTGCCTTCCCGCTGCCTGGGAGACGCAAGAACTGCATACGCAACGCACCTATACAGCCCCCGCGCCCCACAGTCGCTCACCCGGGCTCATCACAGAGAAGCTGAGCCGGGAGGGACACGTCTCACACACATGCCGAGGCTGCAGCAGGGAGGTGGGCAGCGGAGGCTGACCGCTCATGCCATGGCCATTTGCCTTTGCAAAAATGCGGAAGCCCTGTATGTGCTGCAAACTCTGCATGCCCAGAGCAGTCCGTGCTTCACGGTCCAGGAGAGCAGACTGGAAATCTTCCCCCTCCCTGCAAGGCAGCCAGGCACGGAGGACTTGGCCCAGAGGGCACAGAGCCCTCTGCGTGGCATGTAAGCTATGTGGACATCAGGTCAGGAGACCACCAGCAAAAGGGCCAGGGCAGGGGGTGGCCCGCACCAGGCTCCTCAACACCTAGGGACAGGGAAACCAAGCTCTGCCCAGCCCAACTGCAAAAGCAAAGAGCAGGGGCTGCGATGCCCTGGGTAGCGCCAGGGCACGCGGAGGATGGGGGCTAGAGGGCTGCCCACAAATGTCCATGTTGGAGACTGGAGATGCCGGCGACAGGAGCTTCTTGGGGTCAGGAGACCTGGCGCGGGGACGACGGGCTCCCTCTCTCATGGTGGCTGCTGGGCAGAGCTGGGCACATGAAGTGGGTTGGGTCTGTGCTTCGGGGGCTGTGGGAGATGCCGTCTTCACTTGGTCTTCTGGGAGTCCAGGGCGAGGTTCACTGCTCCTCTTGATGCTGGGGGAAGGCAGAGACAAGCAGCACCCGGCCCCAGCATTAGAGCATCTCTTAGTACTGGATTAGCACCCAGAGCCCCTCCCCCTTCCTGCCCACCCCCACAAAAGGGAGGCCTGGTCTCCTGCCCGTGAGGGCAAAGAGACACACCCAAGGTTGCAGGGCAGGGTGGTGGCAGAGGACGCCGGCACAGCTGCAGCTGCCTGGCGCCACCTTCCTTCCGAGCTGGGCAACAGACCCAATTCTCAGCAAGCAGCAGCTTGCCATAACCAGTAGGCAACACTTGATCCAATACCCCGGGATTAGCTCCTTGGACACCCTGCTGCCCTGACAAGGCCGAGGGAAGAGCTTTGCATTGCCCTTGGGCAGGAGACCAAGTCCGGCGAGAGCCATGCCCAGGCCCAGTCGTACCCTGGCGGGCAGAGCCCAGCGTGCCGTGCGCATGCCGGCCAAGACAAGAACAGTGTTCCCACGTAATCCCCTTTGGAAGCAGCTGGAGGCCTCCTAATCCAGCACTAACACCGTGACCTGCTGCCTCAGCGGCTCGGGGGTTAGCGCCGGGCTTGGGAGCAGACCCCCTCCCCTCCAGGGAGCCAACGCCAGGGTTATGCTTTGCTGGACCCATCCCCAGGGGCTGGAGCAGGTCAGCGAGGCAGGGCTTCTGCCCTGGGACATCCAAGCGCAGGTTGGACCGGCAGCCAGAGGGCAGCAGGCTGGGCTCAGTGGCTTTCCAAGG